TTCGACCAGTCAACCAATTACAAATCCATGTAACAGTTACTTTGTCTGCAATGAGGGCTTTCCACTTCCTCCCTATATGATTTCAAAGACTATAATACTTCCTCCCTTCAAAGGCAAGCTCCCCTTTTGAGGGTCCTCCAATCCTCAGGTTAAGTTTGAAGGGACCAGGGGACTGGAATAAATAGGGAACCCTGTGGTATGTCAAGATATTTGAGTGTATTTTTGCCTCTACAGTTGGACCTTCACACTTGCAGCTTTGATTATTCGTGGATTTCATTAATACAATATGTTCTTTAGGAATCTCTGTCTTCCAGGGCAATTTTATGGTCAGCTTCCAAGTTGACTATAGGGTCATGCTGGAGGTCCTAGAGCTTACTAGAAATGTGCTTTATCAGGTTAAAAAATACTTTCAGACATTGTGTTTAAGGTGTATAAATGAATTTCATGTTTAGACTTGGGTCCCATCTCCAAGATACCTTATTATGTATATGCAAATATTCCAAAATATTCCAAAATCCAACATACATCTAGTCCCCAAGCATTCCAAGCAAGGGAGAGTAAGCCTGTATCGTATTGAGTATACCACAACCATCCTGAAGGTGCCTGCAGAGTTCTATATACAGTCTCAATCAATGAGAAGCCACATTAGTCATAATTTTGGAACAAATTCAAATAATGGGATATGTCATTTGCTAAGTGTGAACAAAAGAGGTAGCTGTATTCTGGTCTGAAAGAAGTAGCAATAGCAAGTACATTTCTATACTACTTACCAATGTACTAAGTGGTTTACAAAGCGTAAGCTAATTGCCCCCAACAAGCTGGGTACTCATTTTAGTGGCCTTGGAAAGATGCCAGGCTGAGTCGGCCTGGAGCCCCTGGTTGGTATTGAACTCACAACCTTTTGAGTGGGTGCAAAACAGGCATTTAACCACTGCACCACCAGAAGTACAGTGGGCCCTCCACATTTGCTATGGTTGGGGCACAGGACCCCTGTAAAAGTGGAAAAACAGCAACTAAAAAAGCACAATTTTTAATACACAGTATTTTTAATAGAATATTTCGGATTTTGGAATTTCAGATAAGGAAGACATAACTTGTGTATCTGAATTCTCACGGAATGTTAGCTGCTGCCTGTATGAACTGGCTCTGGTATGCTCCAAGCTGCTATCAGGGGATTGTTGAAGTCCTGTGATGCTATGGTTCATGCGATGGTCACAAGAAGACTGGACCAGATGCCTCCTCTGGATCCATTCCTACTAATTTTGACTTAAGAGAAGAAAAAGAAGGATCTGTTTGCAATTCCTGCAATATAATTACAGAAGAGAACTCATACACAAGGCAGTTTTGAAAGTTTATTTCTGTAGTGACACCAGTTGAGCAGAATATCTTATTTGTATAAGGCCTTTGACATTCAATGTACATCACAATTGGCGCTAATAGTCTATGGTCAGAATCACTAGGTTTGGGAAAGTGTGTTTTCAGTAAAATAAGGAAAAATTAAGTACAATAATTTCCCTTCAAAGAGTCATCACATTTTTATACTACTATACAATTTGTTTTGTGCTAGCAAACTATATACAAAAGCATACCACAAAAAGCTAACTTTGACACATGGGTAAAAAATATACATGTATACAGTTCCTCTTTGCTAAGCTATGTTTAGCTTTTATGATTTTTCCTTTCTTGGAAATCCAGCCCAAGTGCACGATTACTATTAATGAGCCAACTTGATTCTGAAATGTAAACATGATTCAGTATTTGGAGCAAGCTGAAATGACTGTCAGATGTGTAAGCTGTAGAAAGCTAGTTACAGATGAAACTAAGATTATAATAATGAAGAGCCAAGAGTGCAGATACCCGCATATTTTTTATACTACTGATAGCGATACCCTGTTGCTATGAAACCCAGGATATTATTTAATATGCATTTAAACTAAATTAACTGTGTTTTGCTATTTAACAAGTACATCACATATAAAAAAGAAGTTTCACATTTGCAGGATGATCAGGTAATTCCATTTCAAATGGAGTCCACTTCTTTACTTCAGATATTTCTGGTGTAACATGCGGAACTTCAAGGAAAATAGCTTATGGTTTAATAGTCATAGAACAGTGGCAAATTAGTACATATAAATTGAGAGTATTTAAAATGTGAGATGAAATATAAACACAGAAATGTGTCTCAGGATTGTGATAAAGCCTATCAATTGTGAAGTGTCCACAGAACTTCATTTGCATAGTCTTCCCTGTTTTTCTCTTATGAGAAGCACTTGTACAGGAAAGCACAACAAATCCATGGGGCTTTGGATCACAACTCATGAAAATGACACAGCTTCTCTGATAGTGCAACTCTATGTTAAGTATTGCTGTCCATCCCTTGACTTTAAGGTAAATCTAGCATCAAAAAATATTCCAATGGGGGGGAAAAAGGACCTTTCAATTAAGAAAAACTTGATGTGACCCATTCCTTATCGTCTTGATGAGCAGTGTGGTGATAACAGGTATTTTACATAGTTGCAGACTAATTTAGGCATGTATTTCCTGCACTACAACAAATATGTGAAAAATAGTAAAAGTTTGGTATTGTCTTTGTAGACTTATTTCTGCCATTGTGAAAGAAACATCCTACAGAACTATGAGACAGATTTTTAAGTATTCATATTTTACACTTACATGTGACAAAGGATCTCTTGTAAAGTTGCAAAATGTATAACGTTAGTAAGTAGATTCTTCCATTCCAGTGAAATTCAGATCTAATTCTGTTGATGGAAAACATACTTTCTGCTTGAAATACATTTACAGATATCTGGCTTGAAACAGGGAACTGAAAAAAATTGCCATTGCTGCTTGGGATCCCAACTGTATTGGGATCTAAAATAAACAGACTTGCTTGCAATTCTTTTTTTCTCTGTGTAAGTTCCCATATTTGATCCATGTCTGGAAAGTGACTTCTTGTATTTTATATGTTAAAGTTCACTCACACTTAGGGTGACCTACTCTTAGGGTTTTCCTGTCAAGATGTATTCAGAGGTGGTTTGCTTTCCTCTGAGGCTTAGAAAGTGTGACTTGCCCAAGGTCACCCAATGAGTTTCCTAGGCTAAGCAGGGATTTGAACCCTGGTCTCCCAAAGTCATAGTCCAATGTTCAAACCACTGTACCATCTAGATTCTTAATGGACTTCTAAATGCAATCAGTGGTCAGTCCCTGGTAGGCATCCACTGGGCTTTACATAACCCTCATGTTAACCTCATATTGGCTCAGCACAAGAGATTGATGATGTCTCTTGACAGATGTTAGATCAGCATGGGAGCTTCAACCCAGCTGGTCAGAAACAGAGAGAGACGAAGGAGCCCTGGAGGACAGCTTCTCAAATGGAGAGGGTAGAAACTGACTTTTAACCATGATTCTGGTATATTTGCAGCTTTGTGTCATACAGTCTAGTAATGAAGCATAGAACACGAATTACTGTCAGCTCAAGTTGCATAATAAAAAGTTCACTGTACATGTATATACAGCCAATGTCATTTTAAATTTATCTTTTCACTTTTTCCACCACAGTATTAAGAAATGTGGGCAATCCATATTAGGTAGACTGTTAAAGCATTTTATGATGAGACTATTTTGTTTCTTTCCCTGCTGCACAAAAACCAAGACGTCTGCAAAATATGCCAATGCAGTTACTTCTTGAACATCAGTTTCAAAATGTCAAAAATATAAAGGAACCCCTGAAGAGAAATTGACAATAGAAATGCTAATATTCACAATTTAAGGCGGACATAAAACCAGGTACTTTGCAATTTCTGAAACAAACATTGATTACTTTGAACGGAGTATACATAATACGTGTTCATTAATGGAAGCCCTCCCACCATGATGGCAATCTGACTTTTAAACAACAACAACAAACAAACATACTGTGGCCCAATCTCTACATTTTGGCAGGGCTAGCCATCCATTTCAATTACTACTTTATTTACTGAATTAGTAAATACTGCCAAAACAGCACTTAGCACAAACATAAAAGTACTTATGATCATCTATCAGTAAAACAACTTTTCTGCAACTTTGATTTGTAATTATTGCTTTGGAGAATGACAATTTCATATTAGATATTGTTATATAACCTTCCACCTTGAATTTTGGATGTGTCCAAACACAAAGGATAGACATATGAGGAAATATTTTAAATCTAGAATAATTTGTCAACAGACCTGATACCAAACTTCTGGGGGGCGGGGGATTTTATAGGTACAAAGACAGGCCATAGAATTTATACACTCAAAAGCCAAACAAAAGATGGGGAGAAAATGACAGTCTTGTACAAATTGAGAAGTACACAGCTGATTGTTGCATCACTATTTAGCATAATATTTTTTCAACACAGATTATTGGTTCTTGTTCTTTTCTGTACTAGTACCTATCTCTACCCCCATCCAAAGTATATGGTCTCTTTCTCTCAGTTGCTCCTACAAAAGGCCTTCATTATCTATGGTGACAAATCATGAATACAGAAATGTTGTATTGAGCAGATTACAAGATATTCAGTGTAGTGCCCCATATTTGTAGTTTCCCATATTAGGGGACTAGCGTATTTGCTTCACAACAAAAATCTCCAACAGTTATCTCCCAAGCCTCTTACATATTATTTCAGAACCATGCAGAGAACCAGAACAGAAAAGTTAGGGTTGGACAAAATTAGGAATGCATATTAGTATTTTACTCAATTTAGAACATAAAGGTCACAGCAAAACAGCAACTTAAAAACTCTTCCAATTTTTAAACAAGTTTCACAGCTGGTTCTCTTCCAATGAAAGCCTGAAAGATGGATTAAATAAAATTTGCATAGCATTGACAATACATCAAAAAGTCATAATATAGACAATTTCTGGTATCTCTTTCACAATAAACCTCTCTTCTCTTAAACAGGGCAATTTCTGGTGCATATGTACATGCACGTATATGAAGAACCAGTCACTCACTGATATCTCTTTGATGCTCAACAACCTGAATTATATAGTCTCTGCAATTCATTTTTGTTGTTATAGACAATCCTGAAGTCTTTTCCCTTTAAATAATTTGCATAGGTTTTAAAACCGACTAGGTGAAAATGCACATTTTATTAACTTTTTAAAAAAGCAATTTACAGAATAAATTCTTTAAAGTGCAACACAACAGAACATGTCTGCAACATTCAAATTATTCCAATCTCCACAAAAGGAGGGATTCAAGATGTAAGTGAAACAATTAAATATTCACAATTGTGTGGAAACAATTTTTGACCAGGTATCAAGACAGACTGTCTTTATTGTTAATCACCACATCAGGGGCTGCCAACAAAATAATGAGATCCCAGTTACTTTTTAATCTCCAGCAGCACTTGTGCTTCATGTCAGATGTCTAGAGAAGGACTCCAATTTTAGTCTTTCACTAAAAAGTGTTCAACAATGCTCAGGGAATCCCTTTAAATACAAACACTGACTTGCAAATAGGGAAATTGGGTTTCCTTAGAAAGAAAAACAAGTCACTGGTGTCAAAAGCAATTTTCCAAGCAAAATATGGTGTCTAGTCTAAAACTAGTATATTGTGAATTTGGCAACAAAAGATGCCATTCCATTTGGCACTGACCGTGGGTACTGGTAACATGAACTATGCCAACAAGTACCAAGTACCAAGCGTATTTTCTACTTGAATATTCCAGGTTTGACATCAAATAGCTTTACAATCTCTTGTATTCCTGAGATAAATAAGCATGATAAAAGGGTACGGCCCATCTAAAGCTGCCATGAGGATAAGCTTGCTTCCAGATTTCTAAACTCTATGCCTTAAGCACATTTCAACTATTAGTCTTCTCCAAGGCGCCATTTCTGAGACTCTTCCTGGCGTACATCAGGCCTAATTTGGTTTCTCATGCCACCTAAAACGTTCGATGTTGCCTCTGTGGCAACTATGAGAGGTTTCACCACTGTTGGTGGAATCTGGCGGAGAACTCCTCCTACAGCTCCAGTTACCCCTCTGTTCTCATGTTCGCGAGCAGCAGTTTCGTAGATGGTATGTGCCGTGTCTGTAATCCCCTTTAGAAAGTCCCAAAAACACAAAACAGGGTAAGCAAAGTAGCAGTCTCCTCTAATGAAGTCATTTCAGTGTATGCCTTTTCAAGCATTTAGGTCTTCTAGATCCTAAAGCTTCACATTCATAGCTTCAGTCAGAATCATTTATTTCATACAGGATCATATGTTACAGAAGCACATTTCTTTAACCAGTCTCTTGCCCAATTATCCCCTGTACCCAAATAGGACTGACATTGTGTTCAGAAACACAACTTCTAGCAGAGTGGCACAATATAACATTCTACTGAAATATTTTAGATACTAGGTGCTTCTTGTTATCAGCCAAAATTTTAAAGATTAAATCTGGCTCATGATAAGCAAACACTAATGTGTTGTTGCATGCTGCCCAATCACTCCTGCTTGGTTCCTTCCATCAGTGGGATCAATTAGATGTGACATCTGAACCAGGAACTCTGATTTGTCTCTACACCAATAAGCCACAATCGTAAGAGTTAGTGCACTCTTGGCTTATGCTTCTGGCTTGTTAGAGAAGAGACAAACCAGAGTTCCTGGTTCACACATCCCACTACATGAAAGGTGGGAAAAGCTACCCCTCCAGATGCTTCAGATTGCCCTATATCTGGGATAAAAACAACAACAGGTGATTATCCCTCCTGGAAGTCTTGAGGAATGGCAATTCCCCTTTTATATAGGTTTCATGATCCCCTACATTGTTTGAGATTTAAAATGAAACTGTTTTTCAAAACCAGAAATGGATTCCACCCCTCATATGGGTTTGCTTTGGGTTTTAGGTATTTTTGGCAGTTCACATGGCTCTCTCAATCAGTTTCTAGATCTACTACTGTTGTTCACCCCTGCACTAAATTAACCACAGACAGAAGGCCTGTAGTGTGTTTATCCACCATCACCTAGATGATGATCATAAATCAGCAGTATGGAAAGTGTGGGCTGCATGGAGCCCTCAGAACCACTTTAGTCACCTCTAGGATAAAAAAAAAAATCCAAATGCCCTCTAGCAGGCAAGAGGGGCAATGGCGCCAAAAAACACACAAAACCCAGGATGTTTTCAGCCCTGGAGAAGCCTTTTTTTTTTTTTTTTACTAACAGGGAGGGACTTGGAAGTTGGCTTCTTGCTGTTAAAAAAAAGCCTCTTCATAGGTAAAATGGCCTGCAGGGGATTAAAAAAATGTGGCAAAATTGCTCCCCATCCCTATAAAGCAGCATTAGCCAAAGTGGTGATGAATGGAACAATGCTGGTCCCTAAGCCATCAGCTGCCAATCATTGGGAGATTGAAAAAAGCAAAAACTAAGGCCAATGTCCTTGGCACATGGGGAGGGGGAGTTGATGTTCCCCCATATTAGCCACCTTAAGAAGAAGCACTGCCCTATAGGGCATTGGGAACAAAAAAACCCTTGGCATTTTTTTCCTGCACACTGTTGGTGTGCAGTGATGTGGACAGCCCTTCAGTCCCCCTGACAGTTGCCCACCCCTGTCATAAATCATAAAGCAGGACTGCTCCAGAGCTCTGGCTTAATAAAATCTTAAAAAAACGCAACACTGTCTATCTTCCATGTCAGAGGGTTTTGAGACAAACGTAATGCACACAGCCAAAAAACAATGCCATTTTCCTTACCTCTTTTACAACACTGTATGCTTTGGCCACACCTTCTCGAAGATCTACAGGCTGATGAGCTAGGCGGTAGCGAGAAAGTCGTTTGATCTTTTTTGTCTCAATTAAACTAGGTCCAGGAGAAACCATATCATAAGCTGTTTCTGCAGCTGCCTAGGTGTCAGTTTGAATAAAAAAAATCAGAATGCACTCTTAACATCACATTTATTGTTCCAGTAAAATGCTACATATCGATCATAAAAGTTATGATGATCCTACTTGCTTTTGACAATCCTAAAAGTTGAGAATGTATTCCTCATTTCTCAAGGTTCACTATAATCCATTATTTAAAAAGTCAGTTCCCACATATGTTCTAGACCAGGGGTTGGCAAGGTTTTCTTACCTGGGGCTGGTCCGCTGGCCTCCTGGTCTTCCGCGGGCCGAGGGGGGGGAATGGCAGCGTGTGTGCATGCGTGCATGAGCAAGTCG